TCCATTTGTTAGAAGTACGTGGTTGGATAAAAAAAAAAAAAAATACTACATTATTTGCAGGTGTGAAAGTAACGACATGTTTCTTTCTAGCAGATAGCTTTGTGCTACAGTACGTTTTCCAGATAAAGTGATGTTGGTGTGCTTTTGGGTGGTTTCTTATGCGCTAACCACTACTTGCTATATATTAATGCAGTTGATATTTTATCTGTAGGCTACCAGATGCTGTCTTGCAGATCTTCCGCTTAACATTGGTATGTGGACACCTGATGCAGTGTTGTGGCTCAGAAACACGGTTTTAAACTGCTCAGAGTGTAGTATCAAGGTAAGATTTCTTTAAAAAAAGTGTAATAAGTCTTTCCTCTGTAAATCTTGCATGATGGTACATTGGTTTATTCAGTGAACTATTTACAAGTACCGTTACTCAGTGCATCTGGATTTTTACTGAAGTTGGATAACTTAAAATAAATCTCATGGGTTGCTGTTAAGTGAGGCTTGATTGTGTCTCTTCCAGGATAAGCCTTAGGTTAGTTTTTGGAGACCATTCAGGCTAGCAGAGCCCATAAAGGAGCTTAGGGGTAAAAAATGCTGCTTTAAGGGTTTCAGTGAGCCCTAGATGCAGAGTTGCAAAAACTAGCTTTTAGTTATTTTGCCAGTGGCAATGGTAAGTGTTTCAATAGCAACATGACCTATTTTTACACTCAAAATACAATCAAGTACAGATTTGCACTGCAAGAGCACTGTTCATAATCTTCAGTAAACCTTAAACACCGCCTAGGTGAAATGGTATGGTTCATCTTCCTTCTACCATGGTCACCTTTCTGTTGTCACCTCCAGTCAGGTGTACCTTTTACAGCACATGTGGTTTGCTGGACACCTGTTTGGCCCCAAGTGCTCTGCTTCCCCTCCTAGTCTCAGTATTGCTGCATAAGGGTTATCAAGAGGCTGAAATAAAGTTAAATTGAGGTGATTGCATTAGGAACATTTATATTTAAATACCTTTTAATGTTTAAAGTTAAAAAAAAATACAGCTCTGTCCCTGCAACATGGGTTTAAGATCATGTACACAGGGATGTGAGCTACTTTGTACCATCATTTTGTTAAAAAAAGGATGGATATGAAAGGCCAAACACTAACTACAGTTGGGGCAGCTTACAGAACTTGTTATCTTTTGGAAAATATATTGCACACGCACACACACACAACCTAGTCTCACACTTAGCCTTGCTCAGATCTACAAATTATTGCATAATACAAACTTATGTATGTTTTGTGTTGCAATCCAAGTATGATAGTTTGTGATCCTGTCCTGAGGTGCTTTATTAATTAGTTAATTGTATACTGTTCTGCACAGGTGGTGAAAATAGATGAAGCAAAAAGAATGGTGTATGTTTACCTCTTCACTTCAAAGAACTTTGCTGATCCTGAACGGAGTGTCAATCGCCAGATTGCAAATGTTGAATGGAAACCGCAGAAGAACTTGCCTAGCACTGTTGCCCCCTTATCAAAAGGCAAAAGTGATGTTGGCACACATACAGCCATACCTTTGAAAGAACAAGCTAGCATTACGAAGAAACCCATCGCTGAGCAGACTAGCACAAGCCCTTCCTTCGATCTTCCAGCCCCTTTACCTCTGCCAAAGAGCAGCGAACATATGGATGTCTTTGTGTCTGTGGCTTGCCACCCTGGCCATTTTGTCTTCCAGCCATGGCAGGAATTGCACAATTTGGAAATGATTATGGAACAAATGCTTTTACACTACAGCAGTACTGAGGAGAAAGCGGTGGACATTGAGAAAAATAAAATCTATGCTGCAAAGGTGGATAAAAAGTAAGTGCATAGTTGCACTGTTGAAAAATGTTTTGTAATCATCTTTCTCCTTTCTCCTCTCCAAAAGGCTGAAGGTTTTTTTTTTTTGGTTTTCTTTTTACCTTCATGCACTCTAAGCATAAAGGTAAAAAACCTTCAGTGTGCAGCTTCCCCTTCAGCCCCCCCGTACTTTCCTGAGCCTGATTTCAATTCAGCGATGTGCATGAGAGCAGCCGCTCTCTCGAGTCTCCCCACCATCATTTGTTGAGACACAGAATCTGGAGCCATTTGCTCCCGTTGCTGTCAATCATAGCCAGTACGTTGGGTTGGGGCCAAGCCTTGCTCTGCGTCTTATAGGCACCCAGAGGTGGCTCAGGAGTGAACACACCTGAGTGCTCCCAAAGCAAGGCACTCAGCCGGTGCGAGGACCCAAGAAGAGGATGATCGGGGCTGCTCTATGCAAAACCATGCACAGGGCAGGCAAGTATGACATGTCTGTTTATGCCGCATGCGTATCGTCACTAATGACTTGATCAGGAGAAGTCTGGTGCTTCAGTTGTGATGGCTTGTTCTAAGCATCTAAACAGTGCTTGACAAGGGACTGATGTTGGTACAAATGTGTAGGGTATTCTGACTGTGTGCTCAGGAGTTAGAAAATAGGTCAAAGGAGAATCTGACTCTGATCCCCTTCGCGGGACCTGCTCTTTACATTGTCATTAGCAACACTCCCAAGGCTGGCACACTCCTGCCTCAATGCAGGAGGTCTGTGAAAGGGTTTCTGGAACCCTACACTCCCATCTTTTACTGCACCTGTTGCTCATAGGTGCTCAGAGTCTGCTTTTAGCTCAGACCTCAGGGGTTGCAGTCAGAGGCCTTCCAATCCTTCTGTTAACCCTTCTGCATGAAGGTGCATTCACACTTTTTTGTTTATCTGGCAGGGTCCCTGGGCAGTGTACCTCCCTAGTGTTTCAGTCTTCAGGTCACCCCTGTAATCGTAATGTAATTTTTTGTCACAATGTTCTTGAAAATGAAGAAATTTAAAAAAAGTTTCACATTTTAAAAAAATGTTTTACATACTGTCACCAGTGCAGTAAAGCGTCATCATATAACTGGTGTGGTGGTGATCAGGGACACTGGTGACAATATGTTTTAAAAAAATAATAATTTGGGGGCTAATGTGGTTTCTTTGGATTGCCCTTTTTCCATGATCTTTTCTTGTGAGCTCTTGGTTACCTTCAGCCTATCCTTAAATGTCAAGGTTCCTTGATTGCTTTGGATCATGTAGTCCCAGATGCTTTCTGGACCCTGGCTAGGGAAGAGGTTGCCCTCCTGTCAGCCTGAGAATGTGTCGGTCTCTGGTTCACTAGAACAGATTGTCCTTGCCTCATTGTGAAATCCTTCCATGTGTCAGTATACTGATCTGGCCTCTGTTGGATGTCTCCTGTGTGCTACAGAACTACCTCCTCAGGGAAGGTTTGGAAGATGTGGTGTGTGTTATGTTAACTACACTAGCACCTCTGCTGACAAGCCTTCACCTTCTGGATCCACTCAGTTTATGGCCTCCCGGTTGTGTGTTGTGAGAGCTCAGCACCTGTGTGCCCCACTCAAGGTCCTGCTGCAAGTCCTTCCTGTGGGGAATAGTCTGGAGGTCTCCTTTGTCTTACTTTGTTGTTCCTGATCCTAATCAGGTCATTGCCTCAAGTAAAGGGGCTGAGCTGTGTGGCCCTCACCCCTTGGTGAAGAAGGTGGATTGGGATCGGTACCAAGGCTTGATTCCTAGATTCATGTGTTGCATAACTAGCTAGGAAGGTTTGCAGTGTTTTCTATCACTCCTTGGGGTATGCTGTAGCAAGAATTTTGTCAATCCTTCATTTAGGGAGTGACACACTGGTTCAGTTGTAAGGTACTCTTGGCCTATAATATCCTTTCTGTTTTAGGGGATTCTGCTCACTCATTCTACCTCACTCTTCAGGATGTCTTGAGTGTGGGGTTCTATCTAGTTTGGGGGGATTCTTTTATTAATTCGGGTGGGTGTTTTGTTGTGAGCGCTCCCACACCTCTGCTCTCTTGCGGCAAGGTTTATTGCCTAACACCAGGCAGCCCTTTCCTCCTCATTGAACTTTTCCTGGGTGTAGGGTTAAGAATATATGCCCTGGGGCTTTTCATGGACTTTTTATGTTGTCCAAACTTCTCTAAGAATTTGTCATGGGCCTGGGTCCAGTGAATTGTTGTCCTCTGTTGAGCTTGTTGATCTGTTTTTTTTTTCCATCATGTTATTGGTGTGCTTACTCTTGCGTTTATTGACAGACTCAGCTCTTCTTAATCTTGACTGTAGGTGGCGCTATAAATCCTATGGTCAAGATTAAAGTGGTAGTAAAGGCTGAAGGTTTTTTTACCTCCATACATTCTATGCATGAAGGTAAAAAAACCTTTTGTATGCATCAGTCCCCCCTAAAACTTACCTGAGCCCCAACTCAATCGAGGCCACTCTGTGAAAAACCACTGCACAAAGCAGGTTAGTATAACATGTTTATTATTTTTAAACATAAAACATCTGCCTATTAACCGCATCCCATCCGCCATATAAGGTAATGACGGGCGCAAGGTGGTTCTCTCGTTCTGAGAGGACGTCATATGATGTCCTCCCACTCTAACCGCGCAATCGGTGGTGCACTGTGTCCCTGGGACACAGTGGATCACTGATCAACGGAAAGAGCTGATAACGTCAGCTCTGTCATGTAATCAGCTGTGTCCAATCACAGCCCGTTGCATGTAAATAAGGAAATGCCAGTTACCGGCATTCCTCTCTCCTCTCCACACGAGCTGTCACGCTGACAGCTCGTGAGGCGGTAATTGGCATTACTCAGAGGGGACATGTACCAGTTTGCGCTGATGATCAGTGTAGCTCCATCAGTGCCACCTGTCAGTGCCCATCAATGCCACATATCATTGCCCATCTGAGCTGCCTTTCAGTGCCGCCTATCAGTGCCATCTAACGGTGCCAGTCAGTGCCGCCTATCAGTGCCATATATGAGTGCTGCCTTTCAGTGCCCATCAGTGATGCCTATCAATGACCGTCAGTGCCTCCTCATCAGTGCAGCCTATCAGTGCCCATCACTGCAGCCTCATTAGCGCACATCAGTGAAGGAGAAGAAGCACTTATTTACAAAATTTTATAACAGAAACTAAGAAAAAATTTTTGTTTTTTTTTTTTCAAAGTTTTCTGTTTTTGGTTTGTTTAGCAAATAAAAAACACAGATGTGATTAAATACCACCAAAACAAAGCTCTATCTGTAAAAAAAAAAAAAAAGATAAACTTTTCATATGGGTACAGTGTTGTATGACCGCGCAATTGTCATTCAAAGTGCGACAGCGCTGAAAGCTGAAAATTGGCCTGGGCAGGAAGGGGGTATAAGTGCCCTGTAGGCATGTGGTTAATATCACTTTAAAAAGAGCTGTCTTCAATGAACATAGAGAGAAATTTTATGAGTAACAAAAATCTTGTGGTGTTTTTTTTTTTTGGTTTTTTTCTGGCCCTTTTTATGGCTTTCTCACAAAGCTTCAGGCATGCTGGATAGAGGAGGGTTATACAGAGGCTGACATACTGCTTTTCTCTCTGGCAGTGTCCCAGCCGTCTGCATGCTGTAGTGTAACTCAACTATAATAGCATTTCTTTGTCCTTCAGTTAGCTACATGAAAGATTTTAAATGAGATGTGTAAAATGCCTAAAGATATTTGGCTTCAAAGTACACCTGTCAAAACAGCCATCACATTATGTAAAGCATTTGTCTCAAGTACAATTTTCCAGCTTATCAATGCTGTCATTTTGATTGAAACCTGCTCAGCCACTGGCTAGAAACATGTGACAATATTTACAAATTCAGGCTTTCAGTGGAAAATTGAGGTATTCCACCTTGTTACAGCTAGCCCCTCACAATGTCTTTCAAGTCCTTCTGTCGTAGCCTTCCCACCCTTCATCATACCCAGCTTAATAGTTTTATATAAAGTCATTGAAGCTTGACAGACAGGCATGGGGCACATACTAATTACACTACCAATAGTTTTGGCATACTGCTACATAATGCAGCCCCCACATATTGTTACTGCTTTGTGGGTACACTGAACATTACTGTAGCTTGTCACGTGATTGCGTGCCACATACCAGCTGGCTGGAAAGCGCCATCCATAGTTTTCAGCTGAGAAGGATTGGATTGAAACCCTTGCTTATTTCCATGTGCCAGTGTCAAAAATAAAATGGCAGGGCCTACTATGGAGAAAAACTAGACTACTGTCTGTGAATAGGGAAGGTATGGTGCAGTGAAGTTTACGTTAGGTTTCCTGACTGACATTTTTTGTTTCTTGGTGACATGTTTGTTTTAAAAGCAGTCATATATTGCTTACAATTGGGTTTTTATTAACCATTTGGCGGGCGGCAAATGTCATCAGCGTTCCGGGTGGACGCCATATGGCGGCGTCCTGCAGAGCGGCGCGATCTGTCACCGGCCGTGTACCTCGGACACGGCCGATGACAGATCTAAGTATCGGCCCCGTTGTCGGTACCATGTGACCTGCTGTGACCAATCACAGCAGGTCACATGACCGTTGTATACAATGGATGGCTTCATTCATGCCATCCATTGTATACTAGTGTCTAGCTGTGATTTGGCCACAGCTAATCACATGACATGTGCATGTGATTAGCTGTGACCATTCACAGCTAAAGCACAAAAAAAAAAAAAAAAAAAACCCTGAATGAATCGATTTCATTCTGGTAAATGCTTGCTTATAGCAAAGTAATTCTTTGCTATAAGCAAATTGTGTAAAAAAAAATAAATAAAAAATACTGATCACTTCCCAAAGTAGTGCAATGTTACTATGGTAGCATTGTACTACTTTGGTCATAGTGAAATATGAAGAAAAAAAATCTTAAAAAAATAAAAAAAATATATATATATATTTTTTTTTTTTCCCATACTGTCACCCGTCAGTGTCCCTAATCACCGCCATGCCAGTTATATGATGACGCTGTACTGCACTGGTGACAATATGTAAAAAAAAAAATAGTGAAACTAATTTTTTTAATTTTTTCATTTTCCGAAAAATTATGACAAAAAAAATACAACTTCAAAAAACTCGCCATTCCTCTTATGAAGTATGTCGGACTTTGCAAAACGGTGTCATTTGGGGATATCTGTACTGTTCTGACATTCTTGGACCTCAAGAAATTAGATTGGCCGTCATATCTGAATATTGATCAATCCTGAAGTACTATCTCATAGTTTGTGAACTCTATAACTTTCCTACAAACTAAAAAATACATCCTAATTTGGGTTATTTTCACCAAAGACATGTAGCAGAATACATCTCGGCCTAAATTTGTGAAGAACAATTATTTATTTGCAAACTTTTATAACAGAAACAAAGAAATACTTTTTTTTTTCAAACTTTTTGGTCTTTTTTTTTGTTAATTTAGCAAAAAAATTAAAACCCCAGCGGTGATTAAATACCACCAAAAGAAAGCTCTAATTGTGTGAAGAAAATTATAAAATTTTAGTTTGGGTGCAATATTGTATGACCGCGCAATTGTCATTCAAATTGTGAGAGTGCAGAAGAACTGGCTTGGGCAGGAAGGTATAAAATTGCCCGGTATTGAATTGGTTAAAAACAGCCTTACTTTTTATTTTAGGTGGTACAGGGTTCTCTTGAAAGGAATCCTCACAAATGGCCTGGTGTCTGTGTATGAGCTGGACTATGGCAGACATGAGCTTATCAATTCTCGTCAAGTGCAGCCTCTAATTGAAGAATTCAGGCAACTACCTTTTCAGGCTGTAACAAGTCAGCTTGCAGGTAAGAACATTATGGTTTACTAAGCCACTTTTGTTTTTATGATTTTATCCGATAATATTTCTCTTCAAAATGTTTGATTAACCAACATAAAAGTTGGTAAGGTGTACAATCACCCTTTGTATCATGTATTTCTATTTACTGTAATTAATTGTTTAACCACCACCAAAATTTCTTCCTTTACATTCATGTGGTAAATTAAGCTGATCTGTGTAATGGTCTTTACCAAAGTTAAAACAGTGTCCAGGTAAAATGACTGAATGTATCCCTTTTAGTTTTTTAATATGGCACAGTTTCTTGTAAAATGTGATGTCTTTAAATGCCATTTACATTGTTTTTCCTCATTGTGGTAGGTTTTGGTGTGTACTTTTTTGTGCAAGAGGTAGATTTATTTTGTTAATATATATTTTACAGTCCCTATACTGAATAAAGTATGTTGGCTTCATCTTTAACATTCATTATTTTCACTTGGTATGGTAGGCTACCACAAGGAATTTGTGACAGTCACTGTTCAGTGGAAGTATATACAGTGGTTATAAAAAATTTACACACCACTGTTAAAATGTCAGGTTACTGTGATGTTAAAAAATGAAATCATTTCAGAACTTTTACCACCTTTTTAATGTGACCTATAAACTGTACAACTCAGTTGAACAACAACCTGAAAACTTAGTCTTATAACTGGGGATGTAGCTGTGTTCAGAATTATGCACTCACATTCAAAATCATGTTAAATAGGAGTCAGTACACACGTGCCATCATTTAAAGTGCCTCTGATTAAGCCCTGGTTCACACTGGATGCGACTTGGCATGCGATTTGCATGCCCTGTGACTTGCAAATTGCATGCCAAGTCACATCCTATTGTCCGCAATTGGAGCGGTCATAGTTTTGAATGGCCCAGCCGGAGCCCAGACCTGAATCCGATCGAAAATCTGTGGGGTGATCTGAAGAGGGCTGTGCACAGGAGATGCCCTCGCAATCTGACAGATTTGGAGTGTTTTTGCTAGGAAGAGTAGGCAAATATTGCCAAGTCAAGATGTGCCATGCTGATAGGTGCTTCAACTAAGTATTAGTTTAAGGGTGTGCACACTTATGCAACCATATTTTAGTTTTTCATGTTTACTTCCCTCCACCTAAAAGATTTCAGTTTATTGTTCAACTGAGTTGTACAGTTTATAGGTTACATTAAAGGTGGAAAAAGTTCTGAAATTATGTATCTTTGCTCATTTTTTTTACATCACAGAAACCTGACACTGAATCATTAATTGAAAGGGGCATGTTCAAAATAATAGAAAAAACAAGTGGCCCTTATTTAACCGAAATGACGAGCGCAAGGCTGTTCTCTCCTTCTGGGAGGACGTCTAATGACGTCCACCCACTCTAACCGCACATTCGCGGCTCCGAGGGCTCGCAGCGTGGCGATCGGTGGTGCGCTGTGTCCCTCGGATCAACGGAAAGAGCCGAAGACGTCGGCTCGGTCATGTGATCAGCTATGTCCAATCAAAGTTGATAGCATGTAAATAAGGAAATTGGCGGTTATCGGCATTTCTCTCCTCACGAGCTGTCACGCTGACAGCTCGAGAGGAGAGCCAGTAATCAGCATTCCTCAGAGGGGACATGTACCCTGATGATCAGTGTAGCCCCTGCAGTGCCACCTGTCAGTGTCCATCAATGCCACATGTCAGTACCACATATCAGTGCCTACCAGTGCACATAAATGCCATATATCAGTGCCCATCTGAGCTGCCTTTCAGTGCCACCTATCAATGCCAGTCAGTGCCGCCTATCAGTGCCCATCAGTGATGCCTGTCAAGGCTCATCAGTGCCACCTATCAGTGCCCATCGCTGCAGCCTATCAGTGCCCATCAGTGCAGCCGCATTAGCACACATCAGTGAAGGAGACAAATCACTTATTTACAAAATGTTATTACAAAAACTAAGAAACTTTTTTTTCCCAAAATTTTTAGTTTTTGCTATGTTTAGCAATAAAAATGCAGAGGTGATTAAATACTACCAAAAGAAAGCTCTATCTGTCTCAAATAAATGATAAAAATTTCATATGATACAGTGTTGCATGACCGTGCAATTGTCATGGTATAAGTGCCCTGTAGGCAAGTGGTTAAGGACAAAGGCAGCCAATTTTGTACATGCTGGGTATATAGTGCATTTCTCTGAAAATCTGAGTAAAATGGGTCGTGTCAGACAATGTTCAGAAGAATAAAATGTTAAT